TATACAATGAGACTAAAAATAGTTTCAAAAGAAATACAGCGTTGATTCTCACAATCCTGTTTGTGTCAAGCTTCTTCAAAGATTAATGTTGACCACTACTGACTATTTTGTTAAGAAAGATCTGCAGGAAATAAAAATCAAGGAAAGGCACAAGAGACTCAAGCAGTGTGGGAAAGTAACTTCATAATTCTATTCATAAATTCTGGAAGCCTCATATTGTGAAGTGGGAGCCAAGGTTTTATAGATAGACTTGATTCAAGTTCTCATATCTTCAAGTTAGAAGATATAACAAAAATTCATTTTCGCTTTTCCTGCCAAAAGCCTGAACCTGTTTCATTTTCTTTTAGTGTAAATGAATGGTTTCCATTTTAGTAACAAAATTCCATAAGGATAAGTATGAAATTCTAAAAAGGCTCTAGATCTTAAGAATTTTAAGTTTGTAGCGAGATGGACAAAGAGCTTTGCCTTCTGAAAGCACTGGCTACTCTACAGTCTTCCTGGCTTGGATATCACTTCTGTGTACTGACACACTTTTATAATTATGATTGAATATTTATCAGACACAGCAGTCTAGACTTTTCCTCTGATTTTTAAAGACAGAAAAATAAGATTTCATTTTCATAGCCAAGATGTTCAGCTTTTCCAGAGTCATTCTACAATTTTCCTAGTCTGAGGAAGAATGACCACACCATTAAATTAAATTCATGTAGTCATTTCATGGTTACTGTCACTTCCTGTTCTTACCTGAGCTTTGTTGAAGTCAGCTTGAATATGCATTGAAGGAGCAATTATTTTAAAATTAGGCATTTTGAAATTGAAAATCAATTTTTAATTCACCTCTAAGACTGTCTTGCTTTTCTTAGGTAAAGTAGCAGTTTCCAGGTTTTCTTCAGCTGGAATTCTTTTTTTCACACCTAGATTTTGAGACTTCCTTTTTTCCCTTAATGGCACAAATAACCTTGTTTGTTAAATGCCAGTAGCCAAGATCAAGGCTACTTAAGATTTGATATTCAGATGTTGATGTACTCCTTGCACAAGTCAATGAACTTATCCTGTCAATGTTACTTAAAAGAAAGTAAGCATGCTTCCAGTTCTTGGAGATGAAAAAATTGAGACAATCACAAGGTAGATGAAGCTGGGAAGAACCAAGTCCAAGACAAATGGTTCGGGTCTTATACTGGAATGTCTGAAAGTATGTTTCCCATGCTTTCGTCTGTTACTTGTATTTTAACGTGAATGAGTTTTAATATTTTGATTGATATTGGATCTCTAAGTTAGGAGACTTTAAAACTAGGTAGGAAAAATTATACTGTCATGAATAATTAATGAAATATGACAAGGAAGTGCATTATCTCATAAGCTAATGAAATTACACGGAACTTCGCAGGCAGCATTACATTGTTTTAATAAATTTAACCTGATTCATATATGTAAAGAAACCTAAATATCTTTTCATGACTCTACTGTACCATTTATTCCTGTACTGATACAAGAGTGTCAACTGAGAATATTTATTTACACTTTTAGTGTAACTTAACTTTTAACCATCCTGATTGAAGAATGGGTACTCTCTTAGAGACTTACTGACTCAGAAAAATTAATCCTGATTTTGCAATGTTATTTCTAAAGGAAAGTATGGGAACTGATGTGTCATGGCCTGAAGCACTGATTGAGCACCTGGGAAAAGAACCTGGTCAGCCCCGGGAGTACAGGTGAAGGCAATTCAGCTGTGAGACAGGAAGGGGGAAACCTAGCTACACCTCTCTTAGACCTCCTTTTGAGGGCTGACTACCACTGGGGAAGGATGTCTTTCTGGAGATCCCTTCTTGGTGAAGCTTTCCTCTGAGAATCTGGAATTTTCTGATACAGATGCAGATTTTCTGATACAGAGCAATCTTCCCCTACTTTATAGCACATTTCTATTGTGCATGTCCTCTGCCATCACACCTTTGTTGTGACACCTTTCCCAGTGCGCTGATCTGTCAAATAGCTGCAAGGAAGTTCGGGTATTTTTCTCATTTTGATTTTAAAGGTACTAATTTCTGTTAGAGACATCTTTTTGTTGGAAATTCTGAATTAATAGTATAGAACCAATGAAGGAATGACATTATGGTTTGTCAAGTGGTGATATGGGAGGTGAATCGTAACAAATTTTGAGATTAATTCTGATTTTTCAGTTTTGCAGCTTATGCAAATAATATTTGCACAATATTTTTGTATAGGAAACCAAAGCTGCTCTGATCCTTTTATTCCTTCCTCCTATTGCGTTCTTTAGCTGTGTCAAAAAAATAACTCCAAGAACAAAATCATTCCCCTTTTAAAATTTGTGTCAAGGTGTCTTGAAAATGCTTTTAACTTTGTTATTAAGTTTGTACGTACAAAATACAGCTTACACTATGAAAATTGCCCTGCCTTTCTAGGCCTTAATTGTTTAATGTTGGCAATATCCTTTCTTTTAGTTATGAATTTGAAGAAGTATTAATGCATTTAAATCCAGTATTGGAAATTTAATTTCAACATTAAATTTTCATATTTGAATGTCACCGCATATAAGTGTAGACTTTAGCTCAAGTTATTATAACATTTCAGCACAATTGAAAAGTTTTTATAATTGGAATGAGAAAATTGCTTGCACTGTTATATCACATAGCTTTATGATCAATTTGTGTAAAATATAGCAAGATCTTTACACTGAATGTTGTTCTTGGATCTGACTTTTTTTTTACAGTGTTGTAGAAAGATGAACACTATTTTTCTAATATATTTCTAAATTTTTCTAGTTTTTTTCTTTTCTAAAGCTAATATGTGACTATGGGATGTATTTATTCCATTAAGAGGAAAACCTTGTAATGGTTAAACAAACAATCCAATCTGCCAGTTTGCATGTACAAATCTCTATTTTGCTGAAGTATATCTCAATTTTAGCTTGCTTGCAAATCTTCAGTAATTTTAGTAGGCTCAGAGGGAATTTCAGGTGGTAGCTTGTTTTTCTTGGATTTGTTGTTTCTAGTGTATTCAAGCATTGCTGTGCTGCTTCAGTTTTCCCCTGTGAAAGAGCGTCTTCCTAAATATGAATATTCTGATTATATTATAAATCTTATGATGTTTTTTTTTTTTCCTTTGGTAGCATCAGTGTTGCTTATATCCATGTTTCTTGTGTCTTGCGCAAAGAAAAAGTGGAAGGCAAAATGGGTGTTTCAGGATACCTGTAGAATAGAAGGCCTTGGCTTGAAACACTTGTACTTTCAAAGCACAGGATGCAGTCAAGTGATGACATTCAGTGTATATTCTGGCTATTGTCTTCACAGAGAGGATGAGAAATCATTTGCTCCGAATTGCTCAGGTAATCCTTTGTGGGCTCAGACATGGGCGTGTAGAGTTTATTGTGCAATTTACAAAATGGTAAGGTGACTGCAGATGCAAACCTCTCTTGATGGCTCCCTCAGAGACTTGTTTTAAGTGCTTGAGGCAGGAAGGGGAGAGGGGAAAAAAAAAGTTATGCGAAGCATCACTAGATTTTTATTTATTTACTTGCTGTTGCTTAGAGTCAAGCAGGAGGCAGCTTGACAAAAATATAAAGCTGAAAGTTTAAGCAAAATATGCAGTATTTTTGCAGGAAAGGAAGGGAAATAGAAAATAAAATTAGACACCAGGGCCTGCTCAAGCACATTGGGACCCACTTGGGTCCCTGGTCCTGGCCATCCTGGCTTTGCCTCTCTCAGTGGCTAAGAGACAGGGGTGGTGGGGCTCACTGCTGCCTTGTCCCTGGTTGTGAAGCTGCCATCAGCATGGCACAGCAACACTGATGAAATGTTTCCCTGTGCTGTGACAGGGCGCATAGCAAGTGAGACAGGGGTGAGCTGAAAGACCAGGTTACAGATTAGGAAGCCAGGCCCTGGGGAGTCATGCTATGTTGCTGCAGGCTAGATGAGATTTTGTTGCAGCGTACTCCATAACTGTGATACTACTTGGGCTGAAAAGCTGTTTTAATTTGATCTGCAGGATTAATTCCCTGGAAGAGACACCCTAGCCAGCACAAGTGTTAGGCAACACTCTCCATCTGTAACCCAATATGTTCTCTAGTAACCAGGGTTAGAGATGCTTCATGACAGGCTACATTTGTCCATAAGTACGAGTGGTCAGACAAAAGCAATTTCTATTGCTCTGTCCTTGCAGTTTTGGCATGCCCCAGTGTTTCACTAGGGAAGAAGTACCATTTGTGCCTCCAACAGAAGCTCCTTACCAAGGTCAGGAAAGAGTCGGAGGTGCCTGGTTATGAGAGAAGGAGGCAATTGGCAATCTACTGAAGGCAGAAATAACAAGGAGAATCTCCTTGGAAAGCAGCAGCAGTACTGTGCCTAAGTCTCCAGGTGTGTGTGTATGTGCAGGTGGGGGTCGCTTCTTTTAGGAACTGCGTTGAAAGTGCCAAAATTTTGGAAGGTACTGCTTTGCAAATATAAAGCCAGCAGATATACCTAAGATTTTTTTTTTATTTCTCTACATTTAGTATTTCTAAATGTTCTCTATTGGAAGCATCCTTTGGTTTTCTCTGTGTTAATCCCCAGGAGAATATGGGGCAATCAGAGCTCTGAGTGATTAGGGGTTCTGCATTTATTATTGTTCCAAGTGTAGCCTCTTAGCTCAGATAGTATCTGTAGCACTGGCAGAGGAGAAGAAGTGTGAAAATCTGTGCACCTCATCTGTAAAGGCATTGAAAGTGTTTATGTTTGATTCTTTTTCCATTTTCTTTTTCCCCCAAATCAGCTTAGGTTTATTTTCCATATACCTTTCTCTTTTTCCTTTGTGTTGGACTGTGTTGCATTGATTATTCTCATTGCTAGTTTTATTCTCTATGGAAATGAAACCTGTTCTAGACCTCAATTATTTTTTCATTTGATTTTTGCCTAGTTTTATTAATGGTTTTATAGAGGAAGATCCAACTCATTTCATTGTATTCCTCTGGAAATCCAGCTGCAATCTTTCTTTTTTTGCTCCCCCAGATCTTAAACTGTGCTATGGTCACGTGACTTCTACTTCTCTCTCAACTGGATACGCTGAGTGGCAAAACAAATTTCCTGGAAGTAATCGAGTCAAAAGCATGCATAGTGATTTCAAGAAATTGGTGAGTAGAAACTTTACTGTTTTGTTGGGTTTTCTTGTTTGTTTGTTTTTTAGTACTGTGAAGCCAGGTATTCTTTATTGGCAGCACTGGGGTAGCATCGAGGTAACTCTCCAAGAATGCTCGTCGATCCAGTTGGTCGTTTGTAAATAGGTTATATTTTCACATGTACTGCATATTTGTTACATTCCCAAATTCATTATCCTATCCACACCCCTTGATTGCCCACCAGACGTAGCCTTATTCTGCAATTCTCAATGTCATCTAGCCTTCTAGCCTCGTGATGGTCCACTGTTGGTTCATTGTTAGTCCTTGGGGGGTTGTTTATTTCTTCCCAACCCTTCTTTTGTCTGAAAGATTGCCGTGGAAGGCAAGTATGAACAAGAAGGCTCTGCACAAGAGATAAAGAAAACAAAAGGGAGCATCTTGATTCTGACTGTAGGCATTCTGTTATTTCTTTTGCCTTGTTTAAGCAGACTAGCCTTACGTCTCCTCATCTGCAGTACTACATCACAATTATCATCTGCAATATCTAAAGACCACTATATTGTTGTAACAGAATATTTTGTGTAATTACTTCTTCAAATCAGTAGGTAATCATGAGGAGCCCCTTTCTTGTAAATTAGGTTATCATGAACAGAATAATTTGTGCCGCTTTATCTCTGCTTATGAAAAAATTGCAAGGGAGCTTTGCTGCTTTTTTCATGTTTTATTCTCTTAATTCAATGCCATGTTTTTTCATTTGTATTGAAATTGGGCATAGGAGGAAAACTTAGTTGCTCTCTTTCTGCAAGTCTAGTTAAAGCCAAAGAAGACAAAGAACATGAAATGTGAGAGAGGTTTTTTTTGTTTAAAATCAACAACTTTTTTCATGTTTGCAATGTGCAACGCAAAGTAATACAGTAGTGACTGCAGATTTTGCTAGAATAGGACAGAAGATTCAAGTGTGAAACAAGTTTTCTGGAATCTAGGTGCACCTTACTGTAATAGGGGTAGACATCACAACATGAGTTACTCTGGAGAGAATGTGTACTGCTTTCTGTTTTGATGGGTCAAATTAGTAGTAGACTGAGAGCATTTCATGTGCATTGAGCCAAGTAATGTGTTGTAAATGGGCATCATGCTTTGCAAGCTAATTCAGTTCTATAGTTAGATAATGAGAAACAGATGTGTTCCACCTGCATCTGGCTTGGGTGTAGTGTCATGTATACATTTTAAAAACTCTTTTTTTTTTTTAGCTGCTCCAATGCAAACGGATTTAGTCCACTAAAGTTATTGTAGCTATATAGAATCTCACATTTTGAAGTGCAGCTGTGAAGCTCTAGACACTTTTCATTGAAATTCTGACCTCTGTTTCTAGAATCCACTTACTTTATGTAACATATCAAAGTGGTGGGTAAGTCTATTAGAGGCAACATGCTTATTAAAGGTCCTCTGAAAAATTTCTCTTTAGATAGTTTCTGATAAAATTAGATATGACAGGTCAAAAATATTGCTTTCAAACTCAGAGTCAGTGCAGTGATAGTGCCAGTCTTTTATGAATATTCAGATGTTAGTGCTATCACGTCAGTCAGAGAAAATTGTAGATATTGCTTAACAATTATAGGTTATAATATTTTGAATTTATTTGTAAATTTTCTGTGCAATTTAATGTCAGCTGCTCCAAGTAACTGAATTCATTTTTCACGTAGCAAAAGCTGAATGCAGATGTGTAAGAAGCTTTTAGTGATTCGCTAGCTGCTGAAGTTGATCGTCAGCTATGAAAATAGCCTGAAATGAACTAGCAGCACTGTTATGGGCAATCCTTAGCATGTTGTCTTCCAAGACTGCTCAGCGTCTTCTGCAATGTAGTTTTAGTTGACAAATCACAGTTGTATTGCACATGGATACTTTGGGAAAATGGGGAGCTTAAGCTCTGCTCTTACATTTGACAGTGTTTCTTCATCTCCTAAGACACCAGTCTTTTTCCACCACTTTGAAGCAGTTATCTGCCTTGTCCTTTGAAATATATTGTACAGAAAATGCTACCTACTGCTGGGTTACAGAAGATCTCAGCCTTGTCTCTTGGATTGCATTACTTAAAGTTAGCTTAGATTCAGTAAATGTAAGAAAATATGTGGCCTAATTTTCAAAAACAGGCTCTTTGGTCTTGATTTAGTATCAAAGTGTATGTTACAATTCTTACAAGATAGTACACCATGTAAGCTTTTATTTTTTTCCACTGGTGCAGTAGAAGAGGGAAAGAACTGTTGGGCTCAATTTAGGACTCTGTCCGTGAGTATGATGATAACTATTGAATTCTTGTCATAATAAACCTTCAGTTTGCTGTTTAAATGAACTGTGAGATCTTTTGAAAATTTGACTGCAGATGCTGACGTTATCTTTAAATTTATAACAATTTCATTAAATTTCCTTCTGATAGCTTCCATATGTAGTCAATGGTGAATAATTGACTTATGATAGAATTCACAATGAATTCTTTAACTGATAAGAAGGATGAAAGATTGAAGTAGTAAGTTGAAGAGCTTTGCAGAGAGCAGAAGCCTGTCATTTCACAAGTAGGTGACTGGATACAGGGCAGTTTTCCTGGCAATATTTATCTTCAGTGAGAGAAGAGAAATTTGGTTCAATAGTGCACTGAAATGATTGGAAAGCTTCCAAAGCACTGTAAGTCATTGGCTTACAACTTCTTCATCTCAATATAATATTGAAAGTGAAATCAGTCACATACTAGGAATCAGTTATGAGTTTGATGTTTTCTTTGTTTTTCTCAAGAAACTGAAGTATCAATCTGTCACGCGAGGTTCCTTTATATTATTTGATAGGTTAAATTTTATCATAATTGAAGCTGCAATGGGATATGGGAGTAACAATTGTGCTTATTTTTTATTATTATTTTTTAAAAACTTCTATCTAAATTTCTTGTTTTAGTCTAAATACTTGTTATTTGCGAATGATACAATTTTACTGTGTATTTTGAAGGTTAAGGGTTTCTTTGCAAAAGTACATAGGCATTGCTGCTTATTTTCCTGATTATTTGGTGAGAGTTAGGTTCTGTTTTATTGCCCATCCTGAAGTGACTTGCCTTGGAAAGTCTTCAGCAGAGCAATAACGCCTATATCCAGTCTGACCTGTCATCTATTTGTCCACCAAGACTCCCAAGTGAAACTTATTTCTAGGAAACAGTGACAAATGTTATTTTTTGTATAAAAAGCACAACTCATCTGTGCAGGAGAAAGAAGCTGGTAAATTATCTGTATCTGCATTTTGTAAACTGATTGTACTAGTTGAAAGATTTACACTTTAGGAAAAAATGGCAGGTAAATCTAAAACACCCGTGTCCCTTAGAAACAGCAAGTGAATTACAAAATAGTCCTACTGTATATAACTTCCTGCTGTGCACATAAATTCTCATTTCCACTTCCAAAACTCTAATTCTAATTTCCAAAACATTAGCTTAATCTTGTGCAGATCAGATTCAGCCTACAATTTCCATAGTACATGACAAGAAAAAAAAAAAAGCAATCATACAGATCAGTTCTCAAGCTATGTAATTTTCCATTACTTTAGGTAAAATTCCATCAAACTTATTTTGGATTTTTAAGCATCCTTGTGGCTAAGGCTTGTCATCACTGAAGTCCAACAAGATGTGATATAAGATTACTCCTTGAACTATACCAGTTAAGTACACTGCAATGTTTACTTAATATTTGTCCTTGGTTTAGATTATCCACTGGAGATATTGTCTTCTCCAGAGGATTCACTGGCAGACATAAATTAAAAAAATATATATATATATATATATATATATATATATATATTTCTACAGCATATTTTAATAGCATATATGATGGCGAAGCGCAAAGCAACTTTTCATACATAAATGCTTTTTTTTCCCAGAAGAAAAACAAGGACCATATCAAACTTTCCTACTTGAAAAACAGTGACAGGTTCTATAATACAGATAAAATCTTGACACGTTATTACTTACCAAAAGAAAAAGCATTTATGAAATATCGGAGTCTTAAGATCTGTGTAGCCCCAAGTCTAAACCATCTCAGTGTTCTTTTTTATTTCCCAGTGTTTTCACTTGTAGCAGACTGATCCATGGCTCTGAGGAGCTATTTTCTTCCTCTGACTTTTAAGGAACGCTCATCATGTAGTACATGTTTCTGTTCACTGACATACAAGCATCTTTCTCCTTCAGAAGAAAGCTATGTCATTCTAATTATTTTAATTCTCATCTAAACATTAGAGAAATTGTAAAATGTTGCCTTCCAGGTTCTAATACTCTTGAATTAGTGTTTATATTAACTACCATAATAATGACGCTCCTAGGAGATACTTTTTCTTCTATGGATCCTTCACGCAGTATTTGATATCTGGTCTGTGGTACAGGCTATGTACAATGGATTTGGCTGAGATCAGGTTTCTGGGGAAATGCTTCATGGTTTCTCTGTGATTTTATTTAACTGGAGAACGCCTGAAGTGATATTTCCATTGAGATTGCATTATTCATTCACAAATTAATGTATTGCTCTTTGTAAAGAAGTCGGAATCTGGCCTTACTAGAAAGATTTGAAGAGATATCCTTTTCTTGGTTAATTTTAATGGTGGAAGCCTTAGCTTTGTACTGTTAGGTGCGTGGTTCCTACAAGTGACTTTTTAATCAACTCATGCTATGCAAGTTAATGGGAATTATGTCTCCACTGCAGAAGGTCTGTAAGACTTTTTCTGTCTATACTACGTGGAAACACTTATTTGATATAATTTTACAGATTGTTTTAACAGACTTTGAATAGTACTTGGTATATGAATTAAGACTTTCTAAAACAATTTATGTAAAATTCTGCTTTTTCTTCTGCTTTAAGGTTATTTCAAAAAACAAAAATAATCCTTGTCAATACCAGTGCTTTCCTGACGGGTGGCAAGAGGAGATATATTGCAAATGAATAAAGAGACTACTCTTCACTTTTGTTTTAAAAATGTTTTAATCTGTAGTCTGTTTTTCTCCAAACACTTAGAAAGACCAGTTATTTTCATAGGCCAAAAGGCTTTTCTCAGGAGGTCTGATCGGCTACTGTAGTCATTAGTATTTCAATAAGATGATCGTCTACTGAAGAAGCCGAATGTGAAGCAGTCTGCAGTGGAGACAGAATTCCTATTCTGCCACATAGTTAATCGTGGAATCAATAACGTTGGTTGTACAATAAAGAACAAATAATGACTTGAGGTAGTATTACTGTCACTGCTGCCATTCTGGGGAAACCATAGCATTTAGTGTTTAAACTACCAATGTATATCAGTACCCCTGTTCAGACCTTATCTCTGTTACAAATATCCAACTCTGGAAGAGTGGGGAGACTGATGAAGAACCATGAGAATGTACTCCCATGTTACTTCCATGTTTTCTTATTTCTACTCCCTTCCCTGTCTCCATCTCTGATTTATTCTTGGGGGAGAGGAAAAACATCCAAAACAGAAGTTAGATTGACATGATTTTCAGAAGTATTTGATGAACAGGATTTCCTAGTCCATGGTGAACAACTAGTTCCTGAAGTAACATTTGACAGACGTATATAATAAAGACTTCTGTCTAAAGTTAACCAGAATAGCTACAATTACACGCAGGGAAGATTCAAACATTTTATATGCCATTTCTAGGGAGAAATGTGATCTCTTATTTATGGTGATACTTTCCCTATAATTTTTATAAATTCTTCTAGAAGGAAATTCTTTTATATGAAGGAAAATACATATTCATGCCCTAATATTCTAAGTTATGATATAGCAGAGGAATTCTGCAACTACAGAAATCCAGTGACCTAAACTGGGTACTGCACTGGCAAACAGAAATGCCAAACTGTTACCAAGTGTTGCTTTCATGACACTAACTATTATGTGGCAGTGCTTTTAAAAATATGGTTAGTTTTGCATACTGCAAATAATCAGTAATTACATGAATGAAAAATAATTCTATCTGTGAATGTGGGATTTTTGATGTAAAAATTACAGAAGAAATGGTTTCTGGAGAGGTTGCTGCCTGTGCAAATTGGGTGCTTGAAGCCATTACAGCACAGCTAGCTGAGAATATGAAATTCTCATTATGAAGTGACCGATAGCACAAAAGGAAGCCAAAGCTAAAAGGTAATTGCTTTAAAATTACTTTAATGAATAGAACTTGTAGTTCACTTATGTTGTATTTTTTGTTTAATGCTTCCATATGTAATTCCTTTTTGTTTAGCAGATAAATATGTGGGAGGAGAAACACTTTGGAATATAGCTTACAACAGAATTTTTTCATTCTTAGCTACTCTATTGCACCTTCCAAATATTTGTTTCATTTTATCAGTAAGGCTGCAGAGGTGGAAATGTTTATGATTTCTTCACTGTTCACAAAGTTTCGTCTAGTAGGAAAAAGACTGTTAATTTTCGGAAGGTGTGATGTTCTGTATTTGCTGCATGGTGATTTATTAGCTCTATCCCAGCTAATGTTACACAAAACCCTTGTGTCTATGTTAGCATTTTCTGGATACGTTACTCCCCTCTATATTGCAGGGTTCTAGGAAGCATATTCAAAAAAATCTGATTCCATGAAAGATTGATGGCTTTAGTGAGATTTTCAGCAAGTATTTTTGATGTACAGTTTGTATTATTCTGAGGAAGAATATATAGGAATACACACATATTGCTTTGGAATAACTAGATAGAA